CCAAACAAAACATAATACCAACCTCCTCCATGCACGCAGAAAAATACTTTTTCACAAACAATCACACCATCATTACGATTTCTACTTTCTTTGTTCATAAACACGTTATAACCATCCATACTCACATTCCCACTTGATTCATCCACCCAAGACTCAGTTAAAGCAATTATATCAAATTGATATACATTAACTATCTAAAATAATAATCAGCTCGTCTATATTTTTAGTATAACTTCAAATAATTAGGCTAAGAACCGTTTAACTATTTTTAAAATCTTCATTAAACTCGACTGAAAAAATTAAATGTTTATATGTCTTCAAATTATTTTTAAATAGCCTGGCAAATAGTCGAAAAAATAATAAAAACTGTGGGTAACAAAAGGTCATATATTAAACGGACATAATTCAAATTATTGATTGATTAATTCAAAATATGTTAAGTTGACCATATAATACTTAGGCGAAAGACGCGCCGACCTTATGTCACACAAGTTTCGTCGTATCTGTCACGTAATACACCGATTTCTATATAACTAATAATATTAAAGACATACAATAATAACAATAGAGATGTATAACCTTTACTCGTGTATTCAGAATGGTATATGGCTACGGAAAAAGAGCCGTTACCGTTCACAATTTTAACTTTTGCTAAGATTTTCTATTTTTATATTTTTACAGTTTATTTCAATGTTTTTTTTTTTAATTAAAAGTACTAGGGGAGACCCGTCAAAATTGACGTTAATGTTTCAATTAAAATAGTTTAACTATCAATCAATGATAAATAGCTTTGTTTTGTTGGCCATGCTTCTGCAGCGTGCTTTAGATACATTCGATCATAATAGTCAACCACTAAAATGAAAGCTGGTATTTAACTAAACGTTTTTGATAAAAAAAATATAGTATAACGTGATTAGAATTGAGCAAATATGTCTAAAATTAAACTCCATATTCGAGAACTAAATAATTTTATGTTTTGTGATTCAGTACCGGTAATTCAACATCTTAAACTGTTTAGGATAAATTTGTCACTTAAAAATTGCCGTTTTATCATAATCAATAAGTTAGACAAAACAAACAATGCATATTAGCGTCTAAAAGATTTTAGGAGTTGGTATCACTGGGTAGTGTTAAGCCTGCAAGTAGTGATATGGTGAAAAACAATAAAATTGGAGTGAGGTAGTGATAAACTGCAATCTGAGTGCTAGGTAGTGTTATCCCGGCTTCCAAGTGTTTGAAATGCAGGCATAACGCTACCAAACTTTGCTACCTCGCGGGGAGTAATATCCTGCAATCCAATGCGGTAGGTAGTGTTATCCTGCAGTCTATAAAGATATATATAAATATATATATAAATATATATATAAATATATATATAAATATATATATATATATATGAATTTGAACGGATGGTGTTTTTGGCCTCTAGGGACCTCAAAACGAAAAAAAAATTGGTCCCGCGTCCAGGTCTTACCATGAGTACTACGGTAATAGCTTATTCCCTATATGGGAAATTCGCTAAAAAGTATTAAGTGTCAAAAGAGACAAAAAACTATTTGAGTAAAATATAATACAAATCTGCATTTGAAATGGCCAGTTCTAAGTCTCACTTGAATCAACATCTTTCTGGTAGTGGTAGTCTACATAGTTTTAAAATCCACGACTCCTTTTCCATCAAATTGGACCGTTAATACCCTCTAACATTGAACAAAGTATGCCCAACTTTATATATACGACGTAAACACAGCTTTTACACACAGTATGGGTCAAAGATTCGTGAAATGCGACCAACTGCTGATGCGTGATTTACATGTAGGCTAAGTGACTATCTTTATTCCATACAACAAATGTAATTTTAAAAAAACGACAAATATAGGAATATACTTGAGAAAATTATCTAAATAGCATAAATAGCTGCTTATTAGGTTATCAGCATTGCCCAGTTTGTATACTATTTATTTTTCAAATGAAACTGGAATTAATATAAAACATTCATTTGGTTAAAATAATATATCGGTTTGATTAACATAAAATAGTTTATACAGGCAAACTATCAGTTCTATTTCATGTACACAAAATTAAACAACTAAACCCCTAAATAAAATACAAAGATAAACAGTATTTGTTAACTTAATTATTATTTCTTTTATTGCTGACAATATTCCCGTGGCGGAGCACGGGCGGTTAACTTGTATTTGTTTATTTATCGGTTTTTCTTAATTTTTGTACACTACTTCACAATGATTTCTCTTACTTAATATTTTGAAATGGATGCATTTTTTCTAAAATGTATTAACATATCGTACCCCTCCATTGAACATTTTTCAAAATTGAGTTTACCTCAGCCATAAACTAACCAACACAAGTAGACTTCTCATCCCATTGTAAATTTTGAAGCACGTTTTTCGTGTCTAGTTCATGTACGTGACACAAAGGCGCTAGTGTCGATGAAACTTTGTTTCCATTATTTTAGGGTTAATTTCTTGATTTGTGCTTTACTGTTTGGTTATATAACTAGGGGACAAGTTATTGTTTATGATTAGATCGTATTATTTGGTTAAACAAGGTTTTAAATGGCTGTAATAACGGGAAACAAATTGTAAACAAAACACAACCTCTACATAAACCGTACATGAACTAACAATAAAATTGTCTTCAGCTGTTCCATAAGGATGAGAAATCTACTAAGGGAGTATGTTTTATCTATGCCTCAGCTTTTGGTTTATACATTATCTAGGAGAAACCTACTTATGAGTGTACTCACCTAATGCAAAGGGAAATCATCTTTCCATTTGTCATTCAAAGGTGGGTTGAATTGAATGTGAAACATATGTGCCCAATGGGTCATACCATAGACGAAAAGAATTAAATACCAATAGACTGACAGCCGTGCTTCGGTTACTATGGTTATACCATAGGTTCTGGCGAACACCGCTGGGAGCGCCGTGTTGTTAGGTAGCGCGTACGTCGTAATAATATGGCGCTTCCAGCGGTGTGCGCCAGAACCTATGGTGGCCGCTGCACAGCTGACTGTCTATATATAATTCTTTTTGTCTATGTTCATACCGCCCTCTAATAAAAATAATTGTTAAACCCTCACTAAGCTATGCAAGTTTTTATTACAGCTAGGTAGATGAGTGGTTATAGTGCTCGCCTGGTAATACAAAGGACGTCGGTTCAATCCTGGGAAAAGTCAGTAGCTTTTTGATGGTTCGAAACTATACCCAGATGTCCTGATCGGGCTTTTAACAAATGATGAAACAGCTGTTCTTAGTCAGTAACAAAGCTACACAATGTACTCACCCCATACAGTCATCCTCCACTCATATTGAGGTTAAATATGCTCCTAGGTTTTGTCCCTACCTCAGTATATAATAAGACAGCTTATCCAATTAATCTGAATAGCTTATTAGGTTACCAGACAGCCAGATAATATAATCGTTATCTTTTTATGGAGAAAAATTATTATTATACTTACAGTTTTGTCTGAAATAAGTAACTAACTTTAAAATATGTTACCAGTACTTGTTTGTGTTTCAAAAGCTTCATACAAATTTTTGAAAGAAATTTGTACTTTCAATTTGTCACTATCAGACCCCCTAAACAACCTTTAGAGCATTTTATAAACTTTTAATTGGATAGGACTTATACCTGAACCATTTGAACTGAACAATATATCTGGATGTTAACCTAAGGCCCCACTAGAAAAACAGGCCATGCTGCAGGATCCATGAGTGGATAGATTTCATTGATAAATTCATTGCCATCACAATTCCCATATGTTTTAGGTAAATAAACAAGCGTCTTGTAAGATTTTAACGGTAAGAGTTTAGTTACTATCCACCACTGTGACGTAGTGTTGCGCTACCCGTGATGCAGCATGTCCTGTTTTTTCTATGGGGCCTTGGTTAACCCCCCTCAAAAAATATCTAGATGGATGAGTAACAATTATTTCCAGCTAGGTTTTATACGATTTTAAGTTAAACTACTTCAAAGAGATAAAGGTATAAGAAACAATCATACAACCGCACTAAACAATTATTTACAACTTGCGTTTCTAGCAAATGATAAAAGCGTCCATTCAAAGAACTTGCAACTCACATTACACCAAGGTGTGCGTCCAATGGGCGACAGAGCATGAATCACTAACTTGGCAATCGCAGTATTGGTTTAATTGACCTGTTGTAATGTCATATGACCGCAATAATATCATTCAAATCCGTTTCAAACACTTAATTGTTATCAACCTTAATCAACTGGTGATTTGTCAACAACGTGATTGCCATTAATTAAATTTTTAATTAAAATTACCTTTTTTGCATTTTTATTCTATCTAACTCTTCCTCATTTATTCTGATGTTAATCATCTATTGATTGACTTTTATAACTGAATTGACTTTTATAGCTGTAGTTCTATTTTAGTGTAGGAATATTTCTCCCGCAAATATGATTCCATACAATTGATATTGATTACAAGTTTATGATGTGTTAATTGCCTGATCATCCTAAATGGTAGTTAAACTGTTTGTTTTATTTCTGAATTTCGATTTACCTAATTTGAAAATGTAGAATAGGTTACTATTAACTGAAGTTTTATTTAATTATGTATTATTTATTTAGTTGTTGGGCTATATCTAATTTGAATTGTAGTTAGATTTGAACAATAATAAAAAAATGTACAGTAATGTCAAATTTTAAATTATTTTCAATTGCAATGAAATAAATTGTAAGTCTTAAAGTATATTTTAATCATTCCTTCTCCCTCTGAACGTAAGAAGGGAGAGTTCAACCTGCCCAGGACTAAAACAGCCATTGGGTATCAGTTGTTATGTTTCCTTTAAGACAACCCTACCTAGGTGAATATATGAGTGAAAGGAATGAGTTGATCTGTGTATCTTCATTGTTACTGACCAAGATCAGCTATTCTAAGAGATTATTTCCCATCAAATCCATCCAAAGTGTTTGCTGCAGTTGATGCTATGTTTGTCATTTGTCTGCAGGATACGGACACTCGACGCCCAACACGGTGGGAGGCAAGCTGTTCACCATGTGCTACGCCATCGTCGGCATCCCCCTGGGCCTGGTCATGTTCCAGAGCATCGGAGAACGGCTCAACAAGTTCTCGTCCGTGGTGATCCGCAACGTCAAGAAGCTTCTACGCTGCAAGAACGTGGAAGCGTCCGAGTTGAACCTCATCTGTGTGGTTATGACACTAAGTAGCCTGACGATAGCCGGGGGTGCGGCAGCCTTCAGTCGGTACGAAGGGTGGACTTACTTTGACTCTGTGTACTATTGCTTCATCACCCTGACTACCATCGGGTTCGGCGACATGGTCGCGTTACAAAAAGACAATGCACTGGACAAAAAGCCAGAATATGTGGCCTTTGCGCTAATTTTTATTCTTTTTGGGTTGGCCATCGTGGCCGCTTCGCTCAATTTGCTCGTGTTGCGGTTTGTGACGATGAACACTGAAGACGAACGCCGGGACGAGGCTGAGGCCCTGCAGGTAACTAAAATTTCATTCCTTATCAGTACATTTGAAATAAATAAAGGGTTGTGGCCAAAGGTACAAAATACCAGCATCAATGAGAAAAAACTATACATGGGCAAAATAAATAACATGAATAGTTATTTACGTAGGTAAACCCCTTAACAGAACTGAATCCAAAATGGTAAGCCTCACACTGTGTTGTACAGACCATTCAAGTATCTAGGAGAAACAATAAAACATCACTTTTGTACTATGCTATGATAGTTTGATACTTAATGGTATAACCATCAAATAATTAGTTCTTCTTTCTGAGCTATACAGTGAATCATGTTGGTAAAAAAGGGAAAGGGGAAATCAAGTATAATTTCATATTGGTCTGCCAATTTTTCTATCAAGTTTAAATTCCATTCTGGTTCTGTGAATATATTTCACATTTCATTCCAGTGTAATTCATTACCAGTATATATCTTATATTATATCTATATGTAATAGAAATGAAATAGATTACCTGATCAGAACAAGGCTTTAATTCACTTAGGAATGATGGTTAAACATGTTAGAGGATTGTGTACAAACAGTCAATTAACAAAAACATAAATAACATATGATTTAACAGATTATATATAAAGTAAAGAAGGAAAGCAGAGTATCAAATATTACAACATTCTTCCCTCCTTAGGAATGAAAGTAGTCTTCAAATAGACAGGAAGCTTCCGAGGTCTATTGCTTCTTCTAATGGGTTCGTTGTTATTTTTTAAACTATTATCTCTACTATTGGATTCGGATAGTTGGACAGTAAGGCCAGAATCTTGTAAAATATAGGAGCATCAGTAGTAGTTTCGTCAATCTCGTCCACATTTAGTAGGTCTTTATTTTCAATGTCTTGCTCATGAGCTTCACTCACCTCACCGAAAGGAGCTAGATGGCGTGTTGAAACAGTAGTTTCTCTTCTATCTAGATATCTGATATGGGCGTATTCGGGATTTCCTTCTAAGAGTGTCACTTCTTCTACTAAAGGGTCAAATTTTGAAATCCGGTTGAGTTTACGTAGAAGAACGGTGCCTGGTGTTAAAAGCCAAAATGGAGTTGATAGGCCATTAGCAGAACGTCTTGAAAAACCAAACATTCTTTCATGAGGGGTGGTATTTGTAGCCGTACACAACAATGATCGAATAGAGTGAAGAGCATTCGGTAAGACTTCTTCCCATCGAGTAATGGGTAAACCAAGATCTTTGAGAGCTAGTTGAACAGTTTTCCAAATAGTACCATTATAGCGTTCAACTTGTCCATTTCCTCTAGGATTGTATGGTGTTGTCCTGCTGGTTGCAATGCCCAAGGTCATGAGCCACGTTTTCAATTCTTGTGACATGAATCCAGACCCTCTATCAGAATGAATGAACGATGGAGCACCAAAAACACCAAACAGTTGTTGAAGACATGAAGATGATGAAGTATCACGACAAGGAAAAACAAACGGGAAACGTGAATACTCATCTATCACAGTCAGCATATACTTATTTTGAGAACGAGATGGAAGTGGTCCTTTAAAATCAATATTAAGCCGCTCAAAAGGGGCTGAGGCTTTGATGAGAGTACCATGGTGTTTATGGAATTTTGGCTTTACTTCAGCACAGGTACGACATGCAGATGTTATTCGACGCACGTCTTCTACGGAGTAAGGAAGATTCTTGGTACGTATCCAGTGGCTAAGTCTTGAAACTCCAGGGTGACATAGTAACTTATGGAGAGAGATAAGTTTTGCATCAGTAAAAAAGTTACAGTAGATGATACAGAACTGACTCTAGATAGAGCATCAGCAGCATGATTGTCTTTTCCCGGACGATACACTATGTCATATGAATAGCACGATAGATCTAGTCTCCACCTTGTAATCTTCTCATTCTTGATCTTACTCCCATGTTTTAAATCAAACATGAATGCAACCGATCGTTGGTCAGTGATGAGTCGAAAGTGTCTGCCTAACAAGAAGTGTTTCCAATGTCTCACAGCCTCAACTATGGCATAGGCCTAAGCCTCCTTTTCGACAGAGGAATGGCGTTTCTCTGAGTCTGACAGAGTTCGGGAGAAGAATGCTACCGGTCGATTTTGTTGACTAAGAGTGGCGGCTATCGTAGTATCTGAGGCATCTGTCTCCACGCAAAATGGAACTTCATTATCTATACAGTCCAGAGACGCTTTCTCTATATCAAGTTTGAGATTCTGGAACGATGAAAGTGCTTCTTCAGATAACGGAAAAGAACCTGGTTTCAGGAGCTTAATCTTTTCGGAAAAGCAGGGTATGAACTTGGAGTAGTGAGCGAACATGCCTAAGGCTCTCTTTAAAGAAGCAGTATCAGTGGGTGGGGGAAACTCTAAAAGTGACTGAAATCTCTTTGGATTAGGTATAATAACACCATCACTGATGGAGTGACCTAGTAGGGTGATATTGCGTAGAGAAAATGAGCTTTTCTCATGGTTCATAGTTAAGTTGTATTTAGAAGCTGTTTGCATAAAATTTTTCAGATTTTCATCATGTTCAGTTTGAGTGCGACCACAAATTGTTATGTCATCAAGGTAAGCAAATGTATCTTTCAATTTTTCTTTTCTTATAATGTGATCCAAGGTTCTTTGAAAAGCAGCAACACCGTTTGTTGACCAAAAGGGATTCTGGTAAACTGGTAGAGTTCCCCAGCAGCCTCAAAAGCAGTGTATAGTTGGTCTTTTTCAGGAATAGGGACTTGATGATAGGCACTTCTCTCAAATCTATAGTACTAAAGACTTTGTAACGAGCAACTTTAGAGATTATTTCATTAATGGAAGGAATTGGGTAGGCATCCAATTCTGTGAAGCGGTTTATTGTTCTGACCATCCTTTTCTTGTGATTTTGTGAAGAAGTAACAAGCACTTGGGCACGCCACGGTGAATTGCTCTTTTCAATGATTCCATCATTTAACAGCTTATTCACTTCTGCTTCAATGAACTGAGAATCGTTGAGTGAATGGCGAATGGATTTGATAGCTATAGGTTTACAATCAGAAGTCAGGTTGGTAAATAGATTAGCAGGTTCAACGTTTGCAGCAGTAAGATCACTTACAACTAGAGGATCCTTATCCCCTCCAAACTCAAAGTGAACTGATGAATGAAGTTGCAGTAAATCTCGTCCTACAATTATCTCTGAACAGAGGTTAGACATAACAGAAAGTTTGGTATGAGGGTATTTATGACCAAGCATCTCAAGAGTTACGTTGCAATTGCCAGTGATTTTTACTTTATGATTATTGGATGCTAATCCCACCTCTTCATTCATCTTGTGAATTTTCAAATTTAGTTGACGGGCTACTTTGTCATCAATCAAGCTTAAGTCACTTCCAGAATCAAGCATACCTTTAACCTTGAAACCGTTAATAGTGACAATGGTTTTAACTTTGGACTGGTGTGAGATAGAACAAGAAATTTCACACACAGAATTTTGAATAGCAGAAGTAGTTTTCTTTGATTGTGACCGGCAAACTTTCTGAAAATGGCCTGTCTTCCCACAACTATTACAAGTTTGGTCCTTTGCTGGACAGTTTATGCGAGGATGTCTAAATCCACCACAAAAGTAGCATTTGGAACGCACAGCTCCTACAGCAGGGTCGTGACTAACACTAGTAGTTTTATCAGTAGCAGAGTCCTTAGTCAATAAGTCATTTGAAACAGCATTTATTGTTGCACAAGGAGTGTCATACTGCAAGGAATGTAGTTGAGCCATCTCCAAAGCCCGAGCTTGAGCATGAGCATCCGCCAAAGTCAATTTTTCATTTTCGAGTAGGCGTTGTCGTATTACAGGACTTAAAAGACCTCTAATAAATGAGTCACGAATACAGTCATCACGATTGCTTTCCGCTGTAACTGCTTTGAATTGGCAGTCGCGACTAAGTAGTCTTAATGATTCTAAATACCGGTCAACAGTCTCATTTGTTTCTTGACGGCGAGTAAAGAGTTTATGTCTAGCAAAAACCTCGTTTACAGGTTTAACAAATACATTTTTGAGGACAGTTAAAGCTTCATTGTAAGAATGGCATTGACTTACGTATTCATATATGGTAGGTGATATGTAATTGATAGGAAGACGAAATTTCTCTTCCTCATTAGCATTTGTACTTCTAATAAAATTTTGGAATCTGTGTTGCCAGTGATTCCAAACTGTAGATGAATTGTTTGATTCTGGATTCAACTCTAGTATATTTGGACATAGAAGACGATCCATTCTTCTTGACCTAAGTGAATTAAATTGTAATAGAAATGAAATAGATTACCTGATCAGAACAAGGCTTTAATTCACTTAGGAATGATGGTTAAACATGTTAGAGGATTGTGTACAAACAGTCAATTAACAAAAACATAAATAACATATGATTTAACAGATTATATATAAAGTAAAGAAGGAAAAGCAGAGTATCAAATATTACAACACTATAAAACAAAACATATGGTACATTGTGAGCAAGTATAGTGTAAAATGTGTAAGGTAAAACATCCCTGCATCGCCCAAATTTTCCATTAGCTAAATAAATGATCACAAGGTTCGTCGAGTTAAAAACTACGATAGATAGAAACGGTGTCTTTGAGTGCATTTACATTACCAACACCCGTAGAAATCTTATAGACCTTCCTTTATTTAATTACTCATTAATTAACACTGCACATTGATTATTGGATCAAATGTTTAGTTTATTCATACCAGAATATACATAAAAGGAAAATTTCATTATCGATAAGGAGATTTCATCATGCTTAATAAACAAGTGAAAACGCAATATTTATTGAAACTGATGTGGTTAAAACAATTCATAAAACCAATAAAAGATCAAATATGGAAATTCTGATACAACAGTTTTCCCATTGTAGCTGTTTAATTAGAATTGTGCAAATTACGCAGAGAACAAACAAGTAGATGTTATTTGACACAATAGTAAGGTAGCATTCATTGGTGGTTTGACAATAAACATTCTTCATTGCCTGCCTCGCTAATG